CCGCCACACACCCACATCCTGCCCCCACACCCCCCCACATATACACTGCCTCCAACATAACCTATACCCCCCACACACAGCCACATCCCCCCATCCAACCACACCCCCTACCACCACACCACACACCCATTATAAAAGACTAAGAATTTATTTTTGAATTATTATGCAATCACCTCTATATATAGTACACACCCACAAATCATGACAAATATATTTATTGTAATAAAATTAAAATATATTATAATTGCTGTTTGACTCGCTTCTGGTGGCAAAGGTCAGGGGTTAGGTGTGGGACTTCCAGTCCCAAGATGATGACCGGCAGGGGGAGTGGGGAGCAACTGTCAAGGGGTGGAGCTACCCATGAAATAATTGCCCACCCCTGATTTAGCACGTGCCAGCAGCCAGGCTCTGAATGCATTCATCTCAGTGCCTTTACTCTGCTATCATTACCTGCACTAACAAGATCCAGCTAGTCTGTGCGACAGTCCCCCTGCCCTTGGCTGTGTGCACAAGCCTTGTCTTTGCAGCCTTTTGACCAAAAAATAATACACCCCAAGGTTTGTTGCCCCCAAATACCAGCTTTTCTTGTGGGTGGAGGAATGTTCATGGAAATCTAGGTCCGGGTTTTAGACTAAACACTTCTCTCCATTTTGGGGGATGTAGTACATCATATGGTCAGGACAGGCCAGAATTATGATCCAGAGGTGGGTCTTTATGGCAGTGGCTTCAGCTTTGAGCTCCCTAGTTGTGGTCTGAGTGGCTGGGTGACCCATGCTGTGCTCTGAGCTACTAGAATGACCTACCCAAGGACTTAACCAACTGCCCAGGCAGGGTTTGTCGCCCCAGATGACCTCCATACCCCAGAACTGCACCCAGCTCAAAGTCAGGTCTACTTTGTGCCTGAGCAGTCTGGTGATCCATGGTCTCATCCCTGCCTCTGTCAGCAATAGGCAGCCTTGTAATGAAGCATCTCTGGACCTGATGCTTACAGGCATCAAAACCCCTTGATACCCACTCAGCAGGGCTAAGGGGCCCAGATGTGATTGGACTCCCAGACCAAGCAAAGGGAGATCTGAGTGTGATGCAAAATAATATCCAGGAGTCATGGGGCCTGTGGCCAGCCCCGCCGGCATCCCTCAGACAATACTGATGCTGGATTCTTGCTGCAAAGTGGCGTGGAAATGGATGAGCTGCAGATGCAGGAAGTATAAGGACAGAGGGCCAGTCCCACAGGCAGCAGCAGTGCCGAGGCAATGCACATGGCCATCTGCAAAGGGCAGGGTTTGTGCTGTGACTGGGTGCAGGTGTCAGGGCCAGGGAGGCTGCACTGAGCTGCTGAAAGGCTGCCGAGGCTGGGTTTGATGTCTGCTCTGCACAGAGAGTGAACCCCGTGGAGCAACCACAGAGACGCAGGTAATGGGGCTGCTCCACTGTCTCTTTACAGCCCTGAGAGCAACAAAATACCCAGCGAGGTGACAGTAGAGGGGCTGGAGCCAAGAGCCCTTCCACATGGTAGACCTTGAGCTTAGTGCACATGAGCATGTAGCTCATGTGCACACTGCAGAGAGATTCTGTTAGTAATCAACCAGGTGCGTGCACAAGAGCTTTGTCCTGGGTTTCCCAGCCGGGGCCTGCCACTAGCACCATCATGCACAAAGGGGAAAAGTTTTGTGTGTGGAGGGGGCTGGAAATACAATGAGGCTCTAACATGAATTAACTTTGCTGTGAGGACTTACTAGCTGGGCATGAGATATCCAGTGCCTTGAAGAGCTGTATAATAATATTGTAACCTGTGCTGACATGCTAGGCCGGGTGATGCGCAGGATTTTGGGTCCTCAGGGTGCCAGTAGCCCTGGGAGCCCCTCAGGCACATCTAGTGACTGAAGTATCCCGTGGAGAGGTGTGTCCCCCTCACCTTCACTGCCCAGAAATTCACTCTGAACCTGATGACCATGTTATTTTTTATTATATGCAAACAATTTATATTCAGAAAAAATAAACAAAAATAATAACAATGGTTAATAATAAAAACTAACAATTTAGATAAAATTTACAACTACAACATTAGGTGGATAATTCCAGCACACTGTGTGGTCCCACTCGTGTTAAACAACCTCAATAATTAAAACCACCTTGTTATAACCTTTTAAAACAGTTTCCACCCATTACCCAATTGATTTCCTTCTGGTCACGATCCACTTCCCATAACAAGAAATGGCAACACTGCTATAAGTATGATCCACCACTAGATGGTGCAGGCAAGGCTTCTGCTGCTCTGGTGAAAATGGACTCCTTTAATCCTTCCTGGTAACATACTGAAACAGGCTCTGACTATCTGCTGCAGGCAATAGGTTCTCTTTTGTTTCCCTCTGAAAATACACTTCCTGCAACACTAGTGATTAGGTGTCCCCTCACACACCCATGCTGGTTTGTGTTCTCTTAGTCCACTCCCTCTCTGGGCTGTCTCCCCCTCTCACTCAGCACACCATCCACAGACAGGGGTGTCCCTCTGCAGGTCTCTGATTCTGCAGCTCGAGCCTTCCCAGTTGAGATAGATTTCATAGACTTTAGGGCTGGAGGGGGCCTTGCAAGATCATTGGGTCCAGCCCCCTGCCCAAGGGGCAGGAAGTCAGCTGGGGTCAGATTACTCTAGCCAGATAAGCAACCAAGGGATTTACCTCTGCAGGTCTCTGACCCTGCAGCTTCTCCTGGCTCCAGCAAGCCTACCAGCTTTGCTCACCAACACCTCTCCACTTTTTCCCTGGCACTTGTGTCCCTGGTTGCACAGCTCTGAACCCAGTGGGGAATCAGCTTCTCATGGGATGACACAGGCTCTCCCCCATCCTGATACCTGCTCCCTGGCCAAGTTTCAGCTCAGTCCCTCTGGCTGGGGGCTGAGTCTCTGCCCTACCTCTCCAGGGCTGCAGTTAGCTCTGCCCCAACTTCTCTTCTTCTTTTCCCACCCTCAGCTTTTTATGGTTCAGTAGCAGCCAATCAGAGACCTCAATTTGCAATGGGGGCTCTGGTCATAATTCAAATGCTCCAATAAAAAGCGTAAAAATGACTCCTCAGTGAAATCCTATGACATGTGAACTTTCATTTCTACCCAGGAGAACTTTTACAATCTTTTCTCTGATGCCTGATGAAGGGTGTTTGTGCCCAAAAGCCTGCAATTAAATAATTTTTTTTTGCAAAACTCTTGTTGGTCTAATAAAAGATATGTCCATGAGCCCTGATTGCTTTTTCCTCTAGACCAATATGGTTACAAGCTGATACCTGACCAATAAAAAACATGCACTGTACATGGCATACCTTCCTGTCTAGTAAAGCTATTGCACCCTCTGCAAACTTTTTGCCACCCTTTTTTTGCAGAGTTCTTAAGCACAGCTCATGCACTCAGCTTGCAGCCAGGTGAGCTTTGCAACTGTGACATTGAGATTCCAGCTTCAAAATACCTTCTCCAAACACAGGCGACATCCCACGCAGTTGGCATAAAGTACAAGAGGACCAAGTAGATACTAAAGAGCGCTCTGGTTTGGTAGTCACAGTCTACACTGTTTCCCAAGGGGCTTTTAAACACACACATCATTGTATTATGTTACTTAGGGACTGAAATGTGTAACTCTCCCATCTCTCTCTCCCACGCAGCCCAGATGGGTGTTTCCATCCTGTCAGGATGTCCTTGTGGGCAAGGGAATTGTTCTTATGTGGGCAGAAAAGACTGTGGACCTGAAAAACTTACCTTGCAGGGTGAGGAGCTTGAGCCCATGTTTCCTGTTGCAACTTGGAGAGGAGCACATCTACAAAAGGAGGGCACTGGTGGGTGGGATAGTGATCTCTGACATGAGAGAGATTTGTTCTTCACTCTCTACTCCTCCCCCCCAGTCAAGAATAGTTGACCAGATGGGAGTTTCTTGCAAGAAGAAGTCTTTCAGCTCTCCCCTGTAGCAAACCAGCCACCCACTGAATCCCATCCCAGTGTCCTCTCACCTTACTGAGATATTTCTATCACAAGGTAAGCAAGGCCAAGACCTCTCCACCCTGCTGTCACTAATGCTTATACAGCCCTATGGATATACATGGTGAGGCTATAACCTGCACACACCTCTCTGAAGCTCCCACTGATGAGACGGGTTTCTGTAAGTGTCTGTACACCATGTGTCTGGGCATGTGAGCAGGGCTGTTTGAGACCAGGCTGCTTACCTGGGCTGTCCTTGTTTTTCCTTCTCCTCTGCCTTGTCCATCTCATGTCGTTCACTGCTGCTCCATTTCTGTCTTTAATATAAAAAATAAAGAGCA